ACAAATGGATATAAGAAAAGCACTTAAACACCAGGATACAGCAACCTTAATAAATGAGTAACCATTAAATAAAGATGTGAAGATGGCACAAAGTTAAAGAATGCTTTAGCCTGATCTTCGGCCCCTGATTGCTGAAATGGCTGCGATTTGCACTTAAGAGCATAGTCACCCTGGCCTATTCATCTGTTCTTTCTTGGAGAACATTCAAGATGACCACAGGGCACTTATTACGTGTAGAGAGTACTGAAAATTAGGGGGATCTGGACTTCTAAGGGCAGGAGCACTCCAAAAATGTTGAACACTTAAGAAAGCATAATCATAAAGAAAAGAAAAAAAAAACAATGGCAGCTACCTTCACTTTGAGTTAGAAATTAGGGACCACTGTTCACAATTAGGGAACTACTGTTCACATTTTTTTCCCAACTAAAACTCTGTTTATAGAAATTTTATGTTTTGGAACCAGAAATGTGTACAATATGAACTATACTGACTTATTAAATATTTTCAATTATCATTAATTTTATTGCATTTTATAGAGTCACATATTTCCTTAAGTAGAATCTTTCAGTGAAATTTTGGTTGAAAAGCCTAAGTTTGCTAATATTTTATAATAATATTGTTGGACGAGAAAAATGCATGTATCTAAGACATAACTGTCCATGTTCTTAGCATGACCTTGAACTGATATTGAGGTTGACAGAATGACTCTTCAAGTGCAACAACTACTTCACAGGCACTAAATGTGACAAAACAAATTGCACATTTTGTTAGTTTATTTTAATCTTTTTGGTAGTGAACAAAATACTTGCACATTATAAAAAACCTTCCTTATGAAGAATGCAAATTTTATAAATTGTCAATCATCCAGATAAAGTAACTTGCAGTCTCTGGGAAATTGCTGTTCCTTCTATTGACTAAGTGGCTTCAGGGAAAATACTTCAGTAATAAAACAAAATCTGCTAAATTTCTAAATAGCTTTACTGCATCTCCAAATCCATGGCCTCAATATTCCACAGTTGCATATTATAACACATTCACTGTGAAAAATGTAGTAGACATCTGTGTTATCTCTCAAAGTCAACGCAGGATTTTTTTTTTTTTAGAGCAATTGCAAATTTTAAACTTTTCAAGAGAATTAGTCTAGTCTTGTGATTCTGGTGGTAACTATTGAATAATCCTCTTTTCTCAAAACCCTAGAAAATTCCAATTCTTGTAAATTGAAGAAAAAAAAAAACTTAACAGGAAAGTTATTTTTTATCAAAATGCCTTAAGAAAGAATGTCAAGTTGTTCACTGTCGGAATATTCTGTTTTTAAAATTGTATAGGTTGCTACACCTTTACCTTCTTGGCACATAGATTTACTGGACACAGATATAGACAAAGTAAGAAAATATATCTGTGTATATAAAAATTCCATCACAGCAGGCAGTAAAATGTATGCAAGAGAGCCATTATTAAAGAAACAACCACCATAATGGCTCCTGCCAAAAATTATGTTTTGCTGACAGAGTAGAACTAGTTCTGAGGGAGGTAAAAAATTACTGGAACTCAAATACTGGGATGCTCCTTTTGGGTATATAGGTTTTAATCAGAATTATCAAGCAATATTGATTTGTATCCCTTCACACGACTGATATAAGATTTTGTGAAGATATGAAACAAAATAAGGTAACTTACATTATATCTGTTATGTAGTATGTCAGTTATGAAGCAGTAGCTTTTTAAAATAATATCCAAGATACAGAGTTAATAAGGTCATGCTGACACTTTATTTTTCTTGTATACATGGATGTGATCTCTCTCAATTTTCAAGTGAAATTTAGAGAGTACACAGCTAATATTCAGTGTATCTTGGAAAAGTGCCTGGATAAGAAGACTGTGTAAAACAGATGGAAAGGTTAGGTCAGCAACATAGCATTTTGAACTATATGCAATACAAGCTCTGTAAGTATCTATTTTATATTAAGCTACCCAGGCTTTAAGCAATGCTTTTGGAATGACTGTCAATGGTCAATCATGTTTCCAGAATAATACTGAGTTAAAAACATTATAGACTTTTGTTAGCTTTATGTCACAGTGACTTTGCTTTGAGTAATGAACACTTGAATAAAGGTTTTTCCCACAATACTTATTCATATTCATAGATGGAAAATGTAATTTTTTTTTTAAAAAAAAGCTATTTTACACTGTCAAATACAGTTCTTTTGATATATACAAACTTCGCTTGTAAAATAGACTCATCACTTAAGAGGGTAAAAGCCATTTGGTGATGCTAGAAAGTCAGATAGTTGTTACATTTATACAGGTATATTGCTTTTTCATAAAATAAAATTGCTATGTATAATATATAATCAAAGATCTTTTGGGGGGACATATCAGTATTATTGTCCCAAACAGCTGTTCTTTATCTCTCTTATATTCCCTTTGCCTAACTCTTGGTAAATTTATATGTTACCTCCTCAAAGGACATAGGTGCTAAGGAAGCAAAGTATAAAAATATTTCCTATACTGGTTTTAATATCTGTCCTAATGATAAGTAATTATTTGATGACTGCTGAATGAAATTAATTCATTAACTAACCAAACTGTCACTGTAATTCAGCTACCAACTTCTAACTCTTCATAAAGCAATGATGAAAATGAGATTATTTTCTATTCATTTGATTCCAGAAATATTTGACATGAATATTTGACTTTAGTATAAAATGCCAGACTCAGAATATCATTTTTGACTATGTCTTCCCTGGATTATGAAAATTCTCAAGTAACTCCACTTCTTTTGAAAATAATTAAACCATATGGTGTATGACTATGTGTGCAATAAATTTGTAGTAAGGTTGGATCTGAGCAGTGCTCATACACATAGCAGAGCATGTATATCAACAGCATTAACAGGCACTGTCCCCTTTGTATACAGTAGTTACTCAATAAATATTTACTTACTTGATGAATATATCTATTCATTCCAAGCCAAAATAGGAGCTGGTAGGGCAGGAGAGAAAACTAGGGACCAAGAGTCAGATTAAATGTTTTGTCATTTGTTTCCACTTATCATAAGAAATTCACTGTCTTCCCAAATTATTATCTCTAAGCTTCATACCATTTTTATTGCTTGGAATGTTTTTTTTTTCTTTTTTTTTAAATAATAAATTTTATTTTTATATTCCCCATAGAATTGCAACACCCCCATTCTGATCCCAATCCCTCCCCTCCCGCCCCCCACCCCCCAAAAGTGTCTCTGTTTCATAGTTTTTTGTTGATTCTGATTTTCACTTTCTTATAGTTATTCATTTTGTGGTCCCTTATTTAAGTTTTCTAGATCCCTGCTATGAGTGAGACCATCCGGTATTTTTCTTTTTCTTTTTGGCTTATTTCGCTGAGCATGATCCCTTCCAGCGCCATCCATGTTGCTGCAAATTGCATGTGTTTATCTTTTTTGAATGCTGAGTAATATTCCATGGTGTATATGTACCACATCTTCTTGATCCAGTCATCTATTTTTGGGCATTTGGGTTGTTTCCAAAGCTTAGCTATTGTAAACAGTGCTGCTATAAACATAGGGGTGCAGGTGTTCTTTGGAATTGATGTTTCTGTGTCCTTTGGGTAAATACCTAGGAGTGGAATTGCTGGATCATATGGAAGCTCTATGTTTAGTAGGTCCAGAAATCTCCACACAGCTCTCCATAGTGGTTGGACCAGTTTGCACTCCCACCAACAGTGCAGAAGAGTTCCTTTTTCTCCACACCCTCGCCAACATTTGTTGTTGCTAGTTTTTTTAGTATGTGCCATTCTCACTGGTGTAAGATGGTATCTCATGGCAGTTTTGATTTGCATTTCCCTGATTACAAGTGATGTTGAACATTTTTTCATATGCCTGTTGGCCATTTGCATTTCCTCTTCAGAGAAGTTTCTTTTTAGCTCTTCTGCCCATTTTTTGACTGGATTATTTTCTTTGTTGTTGTTGAGTCTCATCAGCTCTTTGCAGATTTTTGTGATCAGTCCTTTATCATTAGTGTTGGGTGCAAAAATGTTCTCCCAGTTGGTGGGGTTTCTCTTTGTTTTTGTTATTGTCTCTTTTGCTGTGCAGAAGCTCTTTAATTTGATGTAGTCGCTTGGAATGTTTTCTTACTTGATTACTGCTGCCAGAAAGTCAGTTATTATAATTGTACATGCATATTATTTTTTCATAAAATGAAATGTTATATATAATATATATATATATATATATAATCAAAGTTCTTTTGGAAGACATACCAGTATTACTGTCCCCAAAACAGTTGTTCTTTGTCTCTCTTATATTCCCTTTGCCTATCTCTTTTTTTTTTAAAGATTTATTGATCTATGCATACAAGAACTGGGGTACAGGCCAGAAGTGTGAGGGGGTGAGAGAATTCACCAGAGACAGAGTGGGGAACAGAACAGGCAGACTGACAAACTACTGAGGAGAGTAGTGGATGAGTCAGGAGAGGTCTGCTGTGCCATGTGGGTAGCTCCCTGGCTGGGGATCGAATTCATGCTGCAGAGGCTGTGGATAGCTTCACAGTGCTGTGCTCAACCCCTTGCCCCACCAGGGAGGCCCCTCTTTGCCTATCTCTTGGAAAATTTATGTGTCACTTCTTCAAAGAACCTAAGTGCCAAGGAAGCAAAGTATAAAAATATTACTTACACAAGTTTCAAATAAAAACCCACTTCGTCACCTAACTCTGGTTTAACCTTAGTAGCCATTATCTCTTCCCTTATACACTTAGAAGTTTTCAATTCATCCCTCATTTTATTTAATTTTATATGAACTATGAGTGACTAATACTACTATTGAATTGCTTAACATTGTCCCCCCCTACCCCCTGCCCGTCAACAAATCCAGAAGTCTCAAACTTGTAGTCGAACTTGTCTCATATACATGTTTTATTTGAACATTATAAAATCTCACTGTTCAGCTAACTACAGATATTAACATAAGGCTGTATGAGAAAAATTTAACAGTTTTGTGGTTTCTCTAGGACAATACAAGAACTAGCCACACTGGGTCTGCATTCTTGCTAGCAGTGAATAAAGGTAAGTAGATACTGGCCATTTCGTCCAGGCCCATATTTCTGCCAATCCCACCGAGCTTACTTTATGTTCTCTGCCTGAAGTCTGTTTGATATGTGAGATTTTAACCCCTACATGATAGTCCATGCTAATGTATGCACCCCATCTGTCTCTCCCCAAACATATAGAAAGTCTCTACAATGATCTGAGATCTCATCCTAAATATCTCTTAGACATTTTATTTGCAAGATGTTTAATTTTCTGCAAAAATTATCTCAATTGTTTTCTATATATAAGTTAACTGGGACTCAATGAAAAATGATGTTAAGCCCATTCTTTCTATAATTTCTATCTTCACTATTGGTATGTTGGAAAATCAGAAATTGAAAAGCTATTTAGACTTATTCTTTTATGTCTCTAGATACAGAGATTGATTTCTCAAGTTCTATCAAATTTACTGCCTTCAGGATCTACATTTGGTGAAATGATGCCCCTCTCTCTGTGAGGGTAGCTGTCCTTAAGATAAACAGAAGCCTAGTAGACAATTCCCTTAGCTTTGACTACATATTCCAGCGGAAAGAGTCAATTTGTAGTCAACAGTAAAAGAGTTGTTTTAAAGCCCAAATTCACTTTCATGGAGCTTGCAAAATGGCACTTTGAATCATTTAAATGATCTAAGAGTTGATTGGTGAAATGTTTTGGCACCAGAAAGTCTGGCATGCAGCCCTCAAGACAAGCAGCACTTCGAACTATATCCCACTTGACTTTTTCTATTAGAAGCCCTATATGTGAGAGAAACAGGAAATCTGTACAGCACTTTTAAAGCAAGTGTGGTGAATTATAAATTAATGAGGGTTTAGTATGGGAAGGGAATAACATCTGCAGAAGAGCGGATTTCATAAAGACAAAAGGGAAAAAAGGTTTCCCTTAATAAAACATAACCTTTCTGCATGCACAATCAATTCTCAATTAGTCATACCAGAGAGAGTATCCACCACAGACTGTCAAAACTGCTTCACTCAATTTCTTCCCCCCCCCACCACAACACACACACACACTGTTCTCTCATTTTGCCTCCTCTGACTCAAGACACTTCTTACATTAAAATTTCCAACAATTTTCTTCCATCTCTTTCTACCATCAAAAATCCAATTATTTTATATTTCAATGAAACCCCTACTGCATGATACAGCATTTCCTCCCACCATTTCCTGCCCTTTCTCTGACCAAGCCTAAAACTCAGTCATGAGAGTGGGTAAGAAGCCAGAAGAAACAGAACTAAGAGGAGAAATGATTTCCCTAGGAAGTTCTCCAATTCCTTCTTTATACCTTTTTAGTAAGTATACAACAGAATTGTTATCTTGGAAACTAAAACAGATTACAAGGATATTTTTGGAATGACTTTAAAATTAAATTCAACAATTATGGATTGAGCACTTACTATATGCAAAGACTTTTATTAGTTTCCGCAGGAGAATGAGCTCCCTGCCCTACAGTGCTTACAATCTAATTGAAAAGGATAATAGGAGACACTTTTGCAAATAACTGATGTACAAAAGGGCTTGGATCATGGTAGCATCATCAATTTATTACCCATATAAAGCAGGCATGTGACCATTCTGTAATTTCTTCAGAAGACAGTAACTGAGTATTCACTATTTATCAGTTGTTGTGTAAAACCCAGGGAATACCAAGATGAAAAAGGTAATATTGCATCTTCACAGTCTATTAGGAAAGCAATGTAAAGAGCATCATGATTAAAACAATCATTTAAGAATAGAAAACATGACTACATGAGCACCAAAGGGAAGATTTCTCTCTCTGCATGGGAATGGGCAGCAGTGCCTATAAAATCCTCACAGAGAAGGAGCTATATCTTGAAGGGCAAGGAGAAGGGCATTTCACTATGAAGCACCACCAAGGAGATGCAAAGGCTAGGAAATGTGAGAAAACATTATGAATTCTGGAAGAGTTCATAAATTTTAATGATGAATGTACTCACAGGATCTGGCCAGGGAGATGCTAAGAGATGAAGAAGGGAAGAAATACAATCATGGGGGGAAAAAACCTTACCAATATGTATGTGCTGAGCACAGTGCCTGGTAAATAATGTGTTAAATTTTCACGTGAATTCTTAATTAAATATTGAGAATGGCCTTAATCCTAAGAGTTGTGAATATTTATAGAAGGATTTGCATTTGGGAAAAAAATCTCCATTCAAGAGGTGAGTATAATGGTTGGGTCAGAGACTTGAAATTAATGACAGAGGGGAGACTAGACAGGAGATTCTTACAAGTCATGGAAGATGACAAGAGCACCAACTAAAGGGTCAGCTGGAAAACTGGAGCAGAGCTATTTTATAAGTGCTACAATTTGTTGACTAACTGGATATGAAGTGGTACAAGAGAGCTCAAATGTGAAGACATTTTCAAGTTTTTAATTTAGATAAATGCGTAGTTGGTGGTACCCTGCATCTAAATTGAAAATACAAGGATAAAAGCAGATTTAATATCTACATTAGCTAGCACATGCTCAGAAGAAAGTCCTTGTGATTCTATAAGAAGTACACCTTATATTTATTTTGATAATTTTTTAAATGATTAAATATCTAGTTTAGCACTCCAACTAACGAGGAACTAAAATTTTTGAGTAGATAGTTGTGCGTAAGGAATAATAGTCAATAGTTTAATCAAAGAAAGACAAAAATAAACTTTAAAAATAGAAGGAAAAACAACAATGACACTGTTTCTAGCATGGTTAATGATATTTAACATTTCTCCACATGGTGGAGTACAACCCAGCCTTGCTCCACATCTGTCTGGCTTTCTCACAAAAGTCAGTGACACACCCAGCTTCACTAAAGGGTGAAGAAAATCGCTCCTTGCTTAAAGGAGCAGCATAGAACTACACTCAAGGTGTTTTCCAGAGAAAGTAACCTTAATCTTGAACTCACTACTGTTAAATAGAAGTCAAGCAGTTGGTTGAAGTAATTGTTTAAGACTGAATAATGATTTACAACCCAACCATTGCTGGCAATTTTATCTGAATATTGGTATGTCCCTTAGTTGCAGATACTAGGCTGCACTGTCATTTTGACTACACAGATTTTTTTTTCTGTGTTACATATAAAGACAGCTATAATATATTGATCTAAGAAACGTAATTTTTATCTGTATCTCTTTATAATAAATATGATATTTGGGAGGGTTTATTTCTTTAGCACAATATCAGTATACTTTTATTCATTCAAGATACATTTACTGATTATAATTTTCCAAACACTGTGCTAGCTTTTGGAGATTAAGGTACTTTCAAAACCATGGAGGAGAAAGATGATTAAGCCAATAGTTAATTATAATCCAATGCTATAGGCATAAAAATAATCATTTGTCTCAATAGACAGTACTACAGAGGAGGGGCACCTAATCATGCAACTCTGGAAATGGATATGGGATTTGTCAGTAGAGTTTCACGTTAGCTAAGCAAGGAGAGGTGGGACACTCCAGATAAAACAGGAAGCATATGGGAGGACATGGAGACACTAAGAGTTTTCCTCATTACCAGAAACAATTCTGATTCTTCCACACATCGGAACACGCAGCACTAACGACATCTCCCTGTTTTTGTGGCTGCCAGTCACTTGTGCTACCACTAGCAGTAGACAGTGCTTCACAATGCACACTTTTTGTACTAATATCATCCATGCCTGATCTTACTGGTTCAGTTTTGTTCTGATTTCCTCATTTTGCTAACATTGTTTTAATATTTTTTTTTTAAAAAAAAAAGATTTATTTATTTATTTATTTATTTATACATGAACTGAGGTACAGGCCAGATTCACGGGAGGGTGAAAGGATTCACCAGAGACACAGCGGGGAACAGAACAGGCAGACTGATGAAATACACTGCTGAGGGGAGCAGTGGGCACGACAGAAGAGGTCTACCATGCCATGTGGGACCCTCGCAGGCAGGCCGGGATCGAACCAGTGCTGCAGAGGCTGCGGACAGCTTCACAGCACTGTGCTCAACCGCCTGCACCACCAGAGGAGGCCCTGTTTTAAAATTCTTTTAAAGTGTATTTTGTAAGGAATATTAAGTCCATTGGCATAAGGCAAAGGAAAAACAATTAAATAATGGGATCACAATAGCAGTAACATCATTTAGAACAAAAGTAATAATCCCAAATGCCTAAATGACTGAATTCATAATGATCACCCTTAAGTCATCAAGAAAAATTTAAACTTTGTATGTTCTATTTCATAAGGCACATTGCTTTTAAGTACTCTGATCATTTTTAAATGGTTAATTCTATAATTCTGTGAGAACAGACTTACAGACCTTTAGGTAAGAGAAAACTTGCCTAACTGGAATTGCTCTTCCCTGAAGGCCATTGTAAGCAAAAGCTTCATGTGTTTGACTTAGAAATAGTTTTATTTTATTTTATTTTTTTTTATAGAGGCATGTTTTATTTATTTATTTATTTGTTTGTTCGTACATGCACTGGGTACAGTCAGAAGCGCGGGAGGGTGAGAGAATTCACCAGAGCCAGAGCGGGGAGCAGAGCAGGCAGAAGGACCGAAGTACACTGCTGAGGGGAGCAGCGGGCGGCAGGAGAGGTCTGCACGCCATGTGGGACCCTCCTCCGGTGGCCGGGGAGCAGCCGGGAATCGAACCGGCGCCGCAGAGGCAGCGGGCAGCCTCGCAACCCAGCGCTCAACCGCTGCGCCACCGGGGAGGCCCAGAAATAGTTTTATTTTAATATAAAATAGCTAAAAGTCTACCCATGGACTCTACTGTATTCACATTAAGAAGAAATTTATCACCTTTGTGTATATGGATGAGTTGGACTGATATCTAGCCACTTGTAAAACATAAATTAGAGCCCAAGGGATTTCCATGTACAATAGTAGTCTGGTAAGTCTATTCAAGCTTGAATAAACAATTGTTAAACAAATTATGAATATACTTTTGCTGAAAATGAATAGAAAAAATACTGGAAAGGACACTTGTACCCAACT